TGCAATTCCTACCAGACCTAAAGGGCCTGGTATCACTTTTGAGGGGAATCCGATACCCTTTTTTTATTTTTGACTCGGGGGGTGCCTCCTAACTTTTCGAACAAACCTAAAGGTCCTTGTATTGATCAAGAGGGGGACCACACACCGATGAGTCAGGTTACTTGACTGAAATAAACCAATAGAAATAGAGGGGGGACAGAAGCTGCTGTATATCTGTGCATCTCCAAGCATAATTGGCCATGTACTATTCGTATATTTGCCTTGTATTCCAGCTTGTATGAAGTGTCATCATCCTCCACAGATGTCTCCAGTAGTAAACCAATTGCAGATAAAAGGCTTTCTAATCACCTTCTCTGTAGTACGCAGCTGGAAGGTGACATCACGGAGGGCCAGGTCATAGTCTTCCCGATATCTGGCCTGGTAGTTGGTGAATTCAATCACTCCTTTGTCTGGCCACTCCGAGGGGGGTCTTCTAGCGATCACCCAGGGGGCCTAGAATTAAATATAAATATTAATCAAATGATTCCAATACATTTGCCTGCATTCCTATCTTTTCTTCACGGCGGTAGAGGAAGAATCACTTTACCTCTTTCTCCATTTCTTCGTATTCACAAACCCGTTCTATAGCTACTCCGTTTGTCTCAATCTCACAGGCTTTACGTACCCAAAAGTTTAATGTCTGTGTGATCTGGAGAGAAGGAGAAAAACAATGGCATGAATTCAAAGAGACGTATGATGTGAATTTATATTATGAGTTCTGACGAAAGTCTTTAACTTAAAGTGAATCTTTATGTAAGGTTCACATTTTTACATGCTTGCTCGTCCAATATTGCAGTTATTGGATTTATTATAGATCTGCAGATTAGCCACTAGAGGGAGCAAACACTCAATTTGTTATCACTCCCGTCTTAAAGAAGAACTTTGGTTTAAAAGGTTATTAACCCTTGCAGTGGGGCTACCCCTGCGCTGCAAGGGTTAAGTGCTCGGTTTTGCCTAGTGGTTAGGCTGCATTATTGTGTAGCACTGCACCGCAGGAAGACGAGCCTGCACATGTAGCAAACACGTATGATTGCTCTCATGCAGTGGCGTCACAACGGGGGTGCGGCCCTCACCCGGGTGACACCATTGGAGGGGTGACACCAAAATGACTGACAGTTACTCCCTCTAAAAAGTCGGGCACTTGGTCATGGACCGAGAGCCCGAACCCCTGCTCTCATGTACAAACATAAAACACAAACTCAATGAGCAAACAAGATGTTTTCAAATATTAACACACATTGAAAAGTTTACTGACATCTGAAAAATCAGTGAAGAGACCCCACATTGCCTTTAAAGTTTCCGAACTGTAACATGTATCTGGAAAGTTCTAACTGGAAATGAGTATGATGCTTTCTGAGGTAGATGATCCTTATAAAAATAAGCAAGATGATAAGAGGACCATAAATACAGCAACCAACCAAGTCCCTAGGAAAATTAAGACGAGACCATCCTGTCTCAGACAACACATTCATCTCCCCACCTATAGCGAGGGGAGCAATACAGTGGTGTAGGCCTGGCTGAGCGTTCATGTTTATGGAAGTATGGGGCAGCAGAAATGCTGGAGAATGGGTAGGTCCTGCTTTCATTTCAAAGTCCTTTTAGAGGCAATGAGCACCTTTAGATTCCAGGCTACAAGACATTTTATCACCATTCATGTGAATTACTTCCAATTTATCCTGAGGTGTATACATATGACCTGCACACGTATGTACTTACATTTAGAGCATAGGTGATTGACAGTCCAACTGTGGCAGAAGTCATTTTATCACCGGCTTGCATGGCAAACAAAGCGGCAAAGAAAACCATCAGATTCCCCAGAAATTCCAATCTTACAGCAAGCCACCTAATGACCAAGGACAAGAGATCCATTCATGGAAATAAACACAGAGCAATGTTAACCACACACAGAGTAACGTGTGTCCAGCTGGCTGATGAAATTTGAAACAAAATTTTGCTAACAGCAATGTTAAGAAGTTATGGTTACAAGAATAGATAGATAGATAAAGAGAGAGAGAGAGAGAGAGAAAGAGAGAGAGAGAGATGGAGAGAGATGGAGAGAGAGAGATAGAGAGAGATATGGAGAGAGAGAGAGAGAGATAGAGAGAGATAGAGAGAGATGGAGAGAGATGGAGAGAGAGAGATAGAGAGAGAGAGAGAGATGGAGAGAGAGAGAGAGAGATAGAGAGAGATAGAGAGAGATGGAGAGAGATGGAGAGAGAGAGATAGAGAGAGATGGAGATAGAGAGAGATGGAGAGAGAGATAGAGAGAGATGGAGAGAGAGAGAGAGAGAGAGATAGAGAGAGATAGAGAGAGATGGAGAGAGATGGAGAGAAAGAGAGATGGAGAGAGAGAGATGGCATTGACCAGTTGTTTGCAGTGCCAGGACCTGATGGTGTTCCTTGTGCGACCATTCACATGGACTAAAGTTGGTAAGTTGGTTACCCCCTTCGCCCCAAGGAGATCCTTGACCCATCAGAACATGGGGAGATTTCAGACACATTAGCAGATGACCTAATGTCTATGGGTTGCATACAGACACTGAAAGCCAAGGTTCATCAGGGTCAATAGTGATTAGAAGAGTTATGAAAAACTTGTCTAATTGTTATTGTTTTCCTCGCTATAAGCTGATGCCAAAGGTGTCCTCAGTACGCCCCCTTCACCTCTCTCCACAGGTCTTAACATGAATGGTCGCCCAGTACAACCATTTTCATTTAGGGATGTGCTGGCCAGTGTAATGGCGATCAGATCAAGCCTACACATCTGACCATCCCTTAGCATCCATGGCCAATTCTATCTATAAGATTTTAAGAGAGTTCATCCAAGAAAGCTCAACCTAACAAAATATTTTTACTCAAATGCCACCAGAAAAAAGAAGATCTTTTAGTTCTCTTTTCCCAATTTTATTTTTCTATCTTTCAATAATTGAATGATTGTTTACAATGTGTAAGCATATTTATTTGCACGGAAGCATAATTTTGATACCACCTGACATGTCATATTTCAAAGGGAACCATCTATTTAGTAGAGAAAAGTGTGCCTGTCAATGTAACTAAATATACAAAAGATTGTTAACAAGCAGTTATGTCTTGTGTCTTAGAAGAAATATTGAGGCTGCCAGTGGTGATCAATACTTTGTAAATCTCTGCCTTGGAACCTGTTCACAACCTAGAAGTGAAAATTACTGATCTACACACATAACCTAGGTCAATGAATCAGAAAGTATTCATTGCAATGGATCAGAATGACTGCCCAGCAACTAGCATTTTCAGAAAATATCAGCAATGGCAGTCCAATATATTTCTATTTCCTATAAAGCATAGGTCAAGGCAAAAACTTGGATAGAGTGAGGAAGTATAAGAACTCCGGTTGGGTTCTCACTGCTTTCCAGAGATTCCCATTCACTTCCTGTCCTGCTGACCAAGGACAGACAGGAAGTGAGGGGAAATATGCAACAGGGACACAGACAGAAATAAAAATCTGAATGAGGGATTCTATGCTAGCATTTTTATTTGTCTGTGTCACTTTTGGAGAGTTCTCACTTCCTGTTTTCCCGTCTGGTAAAATGTTGTCAGCAATACAGGAAATTAAGGTAAATGTCTCTAAAAGGAGCCCTGAATAGCAGTAAAACCGGAGAGGGGTTCTTCTCTTTCCCTACTAAAAATTATTGGCTGGATATACATTTTAACTGAAGACTTCTAAAGCCTCTTAAATCTTTATCAGGAAACCACCATGCCACCTAAGTCATGGAAGGTGAATGTATATTACACTGTTTGTACACCAGTACCTGTTAGAAATCACATTATTGTAGTAGCAGACCAAATTTTCATTCACCACGTCCTTATTCTGTCCAAAGAACCTCTCCTGATGCCCGTAGGCTCTGATTGTCGATGCCCCTAACAATGTCTCGCTGAAGTGTGAGATGACAGGAGATCGAGAAGCCCCATCAAGTCTGCGGATCTGTCGTGAGCTGGCGATATAATATCTCTGAGCACAGGAGAGAACAAAAGTCAACAGTAAACTTGGCAATTTTCATTTTAAAAAACAATTAAAGATAAAGATTTGTAGTAGATTACAATTGCTGGCAAGCTGGTTTCTTATGTCTTTTGATGACTTCAGACCAGAACCTACTGTGACCTTTACAAAACCAAATGGATCTCCATAATGCAGAATAAACAAAGTGGAGCTTGTATCATAGTCTTCAGGAAGGGAGAAGATATTCTTGTGGGAAATCCCAATCCTGAAATCTGAGGTGTGTGGTCTGTGCCTTCTCATGCAGTGAGTTACGACTCATGCCCCCACGTTTCTATCTGTCCTTGATATTAGAGAGCTCAATGTAATAAATCCTGCATTACAGCCATACAGGTTGGACAAAGTTATGGAGGACTTATTGTAAGGGAGATCTGTTGACTTGCAGTCATTGGCAGG